ACACAGACACCAGTAGTGTAGCCAAGACTGGATTTGTTTTGGCAGGGTGTTGGCTAGCTGCAGGCTCAGATTTGTGAAGAAGGGAACTGCCTCCTGTTGTCCCTGGGACTGTGCCCTCATTTGTTTTTAAACAAATTGGATGGCATGCAGTAAATATCTGGCTCCTGCTAGCAAAATTATCTCACAAGACCCTAAATACCAATTACCTCTTGGGCCAAAAAGAACATGATTTGTTTATTTATTACTTGTTTACCTTGCTGTGGTAACTAGAAACATTGGGTCAAGATCCCATTGTGCCAGACAGTATTCAGATGCAGAACACAACTTGCTTTTCTCTTTGTGGACTGATTTCCCCCACAAAACTCCATGGTAAATCATACCTCTGATGCACAATATTAAGGACGTAGCCTAGCCAGGGAGCTTTTTTTCTAGTAAGGAACAGGAGAACTCAGCATCAAAATATACTTCTCACTGGACAGGAAAACAACTTTTCAAAATCTACCTATTTTGAATGTTGATTGTTTGTGAAGAACCTCAAATTTTGAATTAAAAAATATGAATGGAAATACATTTTTCATTTGGCTTGGTGAGGGTATGAATAGTTTGGCACGATAAATGGACCACTGGGCTGTGTGCCTGAGTAGCAACCCTTATGGCACTTCCTACCTCTACTGCGGCAGTTGTACTGTTTATAAGAACTTTTTAGAATAAAATATGCCAAGATGTACACTGAAAGAGAAGACCTAAAAAAACCCCCTTGCCATATAAATTCTATATCAAAGCACAGCCATTGATTTCCAATGGATGAAACCACCTGCAAATTTGAGGATAGTTGCTTATTTTTATCAGATCACAGTAACTGGCATGATGGTCTTAAAAATAGTGGACAGACCCTTGTCGTGGTTTAAACCCAGCCAGCAACTAAGCACCACACAGCTGCTTGGTCACCCCCCCACACCCAGTGGGATGGGGGAGAGAATCAGGAAAAAAAAAGTAAAACTCGTGGGTTGAGATAAGAAGAGTTTAATAGGACAAAAAGGAGGAAAATTACAATGATAATAATAAAATTACAATAGTAAAAGAATTAGAATATATAAAAAAAGTGATGTACAACACAATTGCTCACTACTTGCTGACAGATGCCCAGTTAGTTTGGGAGCAGCTATCCACTCCCCAGGCCAACTCCCCCCAATTTATATACTGGGCATGACATCACATGGTATGGAATACCCCTTTGTCCAGTTTGGGTCAGCTGTCCTGGCTGTGTCCCCTCCCAACTTCTTGTGCCCCTCCAGCCTTCTTGCTGGCTGGGCATGACAAGCTGAAAAATCCTTGACTTGGTATAAACACTACTTAGCAACAATTGAAAACTTCAGTGTGTTATCAACATTCTTCTCATGGTAAATCCAAAACACAGCACTATACCAGCTACTAGAAAGAAAATTAACTCTATCCCAGCTGAAACCGGGACAACCCTTCAGCCTGTAAAAAACTTGGAGAAAGATAGGAGAGGGAAGGAATGTACAAAAGAGTCAAAGAAATTCAGCACTTAATTTTAATGCCTTAATAATGAAGAAAGCAAGTATAGGTTAGCTAACACTCAAGCAATAAAGACTAGATATTAATGATTTGATCTTCTGATATGGCGATGATAATGTCATGATACTGAGAAAGAAATAGAGGGGGTGTGTGTAAAGATCCAAATACTTAATATTTTTATTGCCATACCAAAATCACTGCTTCTGTCAAAATCACCTAAATGTAAATATAATCAACTAGAAATCAGATAAACTTCTTTGTAATCATCAGTGAAGCATCTGTGGACTAACTCAACTACTAAAAAAAACCCAACAGTAACTGTACGATACCTACAAACTATTTTTCAATGTGGGGTGCAAGAGCCTTAGTTCTGCATATACAGTTATAATAGTGTTTCTGGATGTTATATATGTACACATGCTGGACATAAAAATTACTCTGCAACATACTGTTTTCAGCTCAAGTTAATTTTAAAGTGCAAAGCCATTTTAAATGAGAAAAATATCAAAATGGTTGCAAGTAAATTAAACTCTTCTGGTTTCTTCTGAATAGAGTCAGTGTGAGAGAACAGAGTTGGAACAGAGAGCACTGTGAGCAACAGCCTATCCTAAGGAACAAAACGCAGCTCACACTTAACATTTACTTTCTTTACAAAACTTAAAATGGCCACATATTTACATTTCAATATTTATTTAGCATTTAAGTAAAAATTTAATCTATTTATTTCATTAAGCCCAGAAAAAAAAATAAAAAGAGAAGCAATTACAACGGAATATGTTTTTAAGGGTGTGGGAGGACATTTTATTGATGCTGTGAAATGTAATAAATTCCTTTTGGAGATGTTTCATGTCAGCAGTGAAAGACTTATAAAAAAACCATAAACATCAGAACTTAAGCATATGTTAGTTTAACAAAATTTGCTAGCTATTTTCATAATGCCTATAATTTTCTACAGTTATTAACATACTGTTAATTCATTCAGGATAGTCCTTTCAGTTAGTAAGGCTAGGTTTTAGCAGCAGCCATGATTTTCATGAGATTCATCTGTCTGCTTCATAGGCTTCATAGGTTTGGCCCAGGGAAATAGTTACAGCCCTTTTCTAGTTCTTACTCCAACCATGTTCCCTCCTTCCCCTCCTTCTTCGGGCAGAAGTGGCAGGGGAGGGGACTCTATCATCCCTCTAACAACAGAAAACTCCAAGAAATGAAAGAATCATCTCCTGACCATTTCTGAGCACTTGATTCAGATCTATCACTGTTAGAAGGGGGTTTTGCAGTGTTGGGGGTTTTTTTTAATATCATTAAAATACATTTTAATATAATTAATATACAATATCATTAATATACTTAAAAACATCCCAAGAAAGGCTTTTCCTCTGGTATAAATAACAAGTTCTCGCAGTAAATTGGTTGTCATCAGAATAATAACTCAGCTCTTTTCCATTTATATTTGTTCACAGCTCCTATTCTCTCACAAGTTCCTATGCAGTTGGCTATTTTGTCTTTAATTTTTGAAAAATATTGGTCTTTCCCCTGAAGCCCTGGAGATCTCTCCCTTCATGGAAAGATAAAGATAGCCCTTTGCTTGTTTTCTAATGGAAAAGAAAGAATATATCTTATGCCTTGACTATTTCTCTTAAAAAAAAAAAACAACAACAACAAAACCAACACACAACATCCTCCAAACCTAGAGTACTATTTTTGCACAGTTTGCTATTTTATCGTCTCTTTTGTTCCTGGCATCAAGCTTTATTTGTTGGCACAAAGAAATCTGGTACCTCCAAGCTTGTAACTCAGAAGCAGGGAATGAAAAACCGTAAGCGTTAAAAAGACTTGATCATGGTTTGTTGTCGTAACTGTGCAGAAGAGTTTGTCCAAAGCCGCACGTCACGTTTGTTCAGTGACCCTTCACATATAATAGCCCTCAAAAATTACAGTGCTCATGAAAGATGGCAAGATAAATTAAAATATTGCAAATAAGTGTAATTAAATGAGTGACTATATCCTATAATAATGATTAAACTTTCCTGCTAAGATAATTTTTTTAAAAAAGGAGCGTTGATCTCCCCAGTACCACAATTATTTTTGAATACTCCAAGTCAAATGAAGAGCAAGGTGTGTGTAGGGTACTAGCCACTGGCAATACTGACTTGTTCATGGTGGCACTACTTTACTGAGATTTTGTATTCTTGAACTGGGCAACTGAGACTGCAGAAAATTTTAGCTATCTCTTTCACCCCTCCCCACCATTCAATTTTCTCATTTCCCCAACTATCAGATTTTTTTCCTTCTATTTACTTCTTGGACCTGCTGTAGAATGCTTCTTAGATATATTAAAAAGACAGCTGCATATATTTTGAAGGGGCATCATAACATGCCGTTTGTCGGCCTGCATTTAACTGGTGCCCTGACTAAATATATAGGAAAATAGTAGTCAGGACAGTAATTTGAACAGAAATACAAGCACAGCATGCTCTTCATATTACACACACACTGATGTTTCATCTACTTAACCCACAGGCCATTCTGAAGGTAATAACATGCTACCTCAAGAGGCTAAGGTTTCATTACATTTTTAAGGACTAACAGGTGTGCCCCTATGGCTTGCCAAAATACTTCAAGATGAACTGCAAAACTAATCTGTAAACTTGCTGCTCACCCCCTGGCTTGCACTGCACCTGGCTAGTGAAATGGCAATAGCGGAGTTCATGCTTGGTCATCCTTGTTCCACTGCCGCAGCCCTCAAAGCACCAAGGCAGGTGGTTAATTGACACATCACTAGGAAGAAAAAAAACCAAAAAGTCTTACAACCCTGAATGTGTGTAGGTTACCGAAAAGCGCACAAGAAAGCTCCTACTCCTTATGCCCCTACAGCAGTTCAGTAGAAACTACCAAGCGCATCAGCGTAGTTGTGCTCAGAGGTGGATTAAGGTCAGACAACCTTTCAAGCTTCTACTGGACCTTCGGAATGTTGGTCCCTGGAGGCCCTTTGCTTTCTGAAGCCCCTCGAAGGAGCCTTCAGACCCCCCACTACCTGCCTCCCCTCCACCGTCCTTTACTCCTGAAAGCGTGCCCCTGGTGAGGCCGAAGCCTAACTGCCTTTCCAAACACGTACTAGGACATGGAAGGGACGACACCCTCTCCCCCTCTCCGTTTGATCCCCAGTTTGCCTACCACATCGCATTTCTAAATCTGTACAGACACAGTACTTTCTATAAGCAGACGGAACTTTTCTGGTTTGGGGGCGGGAGAGCTGCTCCTTGGGGCAGCAGCGCCTGAGGAGAACGGGGCGGGGGGCGGACTACTACGACGACATGGCCCCGCGGCCGCGGTAGGAAGAGCCGGGAAAGGCCGAGGGCTCCCTCCCAGCCCGGCGGCGGGGCCGCCTCTGCGCCGGCGCCGTGCTACCGGCCGGGCCGGGAGGAGGAGGAGGAAGAGGAGGAGGAGGAGAGCGAGAGCGGCGGGCATGGCGGCGCCCGCCGCGCTGCAGAGGAGCGTGGTGTCCCCTGCGGGCAGGCACACCGCCTCCCTCATCTTCCTGCACGGCTCAGGTGG